ACAGTGCCTTTTCAAGTCTTCAGCCAAGAAACCTTTTATGGTTCTCCGATTGTTCTTGAAGCTGTCGGTGATGGTCACTTTTTGGGATTTGATATCGATGTCCGAAACCGAACGATTTACTATCTCCAGCCCAAGTTCCTTTGGCAAGTTCGACATCCCATGAGTGCAGGTAGCGATCGATTGCTGGTGTCAGGTGCGAAGTCGAGAATTTCTCTCATCCGTAAGTACACTTGGCCAACGTGCCAAGCGGAAGTAGCTGTCCATACTTTTGTACGGTGGTTAGCGAACCTTGGTTATCCATTTCGCTTGTGTGAAGCTTTGATGAAACGGTAAAAGTGGTCTGTTATCAGTTGACAGTTGACAGCGGACGTGCATGCAACATGTCTTGATCTGAGTTTGCCATGTGTGAGAGACTTGCAAATGTCAGCATCGCAGTGTTTTTGGCTAAGAGACGAGATCATCTGTGCAAGCAAGCATGCCGACGGTGCCACCTTCGGATCCTAGCATCGATGAGTTCTTGAGAATGCTCACTCATTCAGCGCGTGTGAGATTGCTCAACTTTGTATCACGACCTCAACTTCGTCAAGCCCTTGTACTTCAATTGACAGCTTTTGTGCGTGACGGGACAGAAAGAATGCTGCAGCAAGAGTTGCGTCGTTTGGATGAGAGGGATAGAGCAAACTTACGTGAAGAACGTCCTAGCAGTAGTGGAGCTTCAGGATCACGTTCGTCCAGTGGCAATTGCAGATCCCATCCCTATGCACCTCCACCCCCTCTGCCCAGCAATGAGGAGTGCGCCGAGTGCAGGGAGCGACAACCCATCTTCCAGTTCCACACCTCCCCCCCTACCTCCCCCTGGCCCTCCCCCTCTCCCCCCCCCTCCCCTCCCTCCTCCACTTCCCCCTCCCAATTTCCCCCCGCCCAGTGCCAGTGCTCCCGTCTTTCCACCCCCGGCACCACCAGGAAGCTTGGGGCATCGTGTGTCTGAACCTCCTTTGGTGTCGAGTACCGCTTCGTCGTCGGCTGCACCTACATCTTCAGCTACGTCAGGTACTCCGATCAGATCCAAACCCATGCCTACCAGAAGGCGTGAATCACGCCGATTTCGACGCAGTCAATCGTCTGATCTCAGCTGAGTATGTCCGAAGTGACAGGGTTTCGCTTGTATCTGTGACGCATGTGAGTGCTGAAGTGAGGAAAGAATGTGCATTGGATGCAAGTGCTGTGAGTACTGTTTCATTCATGTTGTATTGCATACCAGAACAGTGTTGCAGCATCCTGCTCAAGTGTCGTCCCATTGCCCTAATGTCGAGCAACTCAGCGTGCGACCCGTTGGCACCTCTTCAACGCTGGATTTCCTACACACAACAGGAGCTGATCACAATCAGAGGTGAATTCCGTCACTTTCGCGAAGAAGCTTTCTCCGTCCAAAAGATCCAACAAGCCCAACTCGACGTGCTCACCACACAAATCAGGGACACGGAGACTCAGGTGGCAGAAGTCATGTCTGCCATCACAGAACTGTTTCAGAAACTTCAGAAGACCAACGAAGTGGTGGGCAACTTGCTGACGGATTTGCATTCTCTTCAATCTGTGACTTCCCATTGTGTTAATTCTCTTCAACTACAAGAAACAACAGAGTTGCCCCCAACGCTCCCAGCAGAGATTGAAGTCTCAGAGTGAAACGTGAGCAGTTGCAAACAAGCGTCTGTGCGCCAGTGTCACTGCAAGGGTGTTGCAAGGGATGTGCAAGGGACGTGCAAGTGATGTGCAAGTGATGTGCAAGGGTGATACAAGCGATCTGCCGGCACCATGTGTTGTGAGCGTTTGCAGACATTGTCTTGCCTCATGCCCTCAAGGTTCTCTGCAGTGCAAGACAGATTCGGAACGTACAAGTAGCTTTCCATCATGTCGGTGTCCAGTTTCGAGAGCGATGTTGCCTCTGTATCGGACGTGCACTCTTCCGACTTCTCGTCAGACCTTGCAGTATCGGACCAAGAACGTGATCGACGTGCAGATGTGGCATCAGGTGTTCCTTTGGCCAGCGATCCGGATTCGGCTGATTTTGCTCTTGATCATGAGAGTATTAATGCGTCTTCATCCATTGACCGACAGTCTACGTCTTTGTCCTCTGGTCGACTAGTTCATGTCCCAAAGCCGAAGCAGTCCGCTGCAGAGCACACCAACATGTTGCAGACGGACCCACCGCGGAAACGCAAACTTCGTATGATTGATGAAGGGCCTGATGGTGTGCGCATCAAGATTCGTCCTGCACCCAGTACCCAATTTCGCCGCAGAATGGAAGGCACGAGAGTGCTTGGTGACGATTTCTTCATTCACAACAGAGCTCAGTTCATTCTCGATTTCTTGAGACAGCATGGCGAACGCATTGCCAAAGAAAAGCAAGGCCCTAGGAAGCGTTTTTCGTCCACTTTGAAACTTGTGCAGTACGTTCTTGACCGAAAGTGAGAGATTGCACAAAGAAAGTGAAAGAAACTAAAGAGTGCGCGTTTGCCGTGCTGTGCATTATCAGCTTTCTGCATGAACCGTCTTGAGTTGCAGCATTTGGCATCCAGTGAAACTGTGTAGGTTGCCCAACATGAAGCGCAAGGCCCGTGAAGCCAATCTGCCTTGGAGTACGAGCCGCGACTACATTTTTCGGATGTGGGTTCGTGTATGCAGTCGGGCAACCGGACACGAGACTATTACTCTCCACATCCAGCTATCAATCAACGATTCCATCAACGTTGCCAAATACCTCGTCGCGATGCAGCTCTGGGAGAAGTTCGGCTGGTGGCCTAGGTTACACACCTTCCAGCTTGTACAAAACTTTCGCCATCTTCGGTTTACGGAACCTGTAACGACTGCTCAAACCCTTGAACCAGTCGATTTCGTTGTGACGGTATAAAAAGAGACCACCTCTGTGTCATGTCAAGAGAAGTGACGAGCAAGGGATGTGCAAGCGGATTGCAAGTGATGTGCAAGGGATGTGCGAGGTTCGTGCAAGTGCAGTGCAAGAAATGTGCAGAGTAACATGTCAGAGATGTGCAAGTGCTGCGGTGTTGTGAGCTGCTTTCATCAGACATGCAACAGAGTTTTGTTTCAAGCACTCTGAAAATTGTGTAGATCCCGAACAACATGGATTGGGCCGCTTCTGACGTGCTCGAGAACATCTTGATGTACGTGTTGCCGATCAGAGCCAGAATCACATTCATTACTCGCCTCGATCGAAATGATGACCCAGAAGAGGCACAACCCATAACCGACACCATGGTGGCGTACACGTTCCTGCGACGTGGGATACAGGAATTTCGGCTGTCCTCCTCGGTTGAGTTGACCATGGGCTTTCAGTCTTTGCATACCACCATCCGTTTTGTCCAAATCAATGCCGTGGCTTGCACCATGTTGAGCAGCCCGTCAAAAAGGTGGATGAGAGCTGTGGTAGAGCTAGTACAGGAGCAGTTGCGAGTGAGTATCGTGTCACTGGCCAATGTTGCGTACCAAACTGCAACTCAGTGTTGCATGTACTTCGATGCTGATGCGGAAGAAGCAGAAGTCGAATTGCACTTAGTGCACAGACTGCGCTTCCTGAAGTTTCGTAGCCCACTTTCCTAGGTCTCTTGAGCATAAGACTTCCCCATGAAAAATCGGTGAGATAAAACAGCGCGCAACGACTGTCAACATTGCAAGGAGCCCCTCGGGGCTTGTGTGTGTCCAACTCTGTTTCCAAGAGATGTGAGTGAGTGAAGCAGCAGGGGGGCAGTGAGCCTTCTATCATCCACTGCCCAACGAAGACGGTGATAGAAGTGCTGTGAAGCAATCTGGGACGCCAGATTGTGTACCTGCATTGAAATGGCACGGGGGCCAAGCCACAAACCCCTTTCCGAGCTGTGTTTGAGTGAGGGCTTGCATTGGTCAGTTTCTTGCTCAGTTCCTGTTCAAGAGTTTGCCTGTGAATGCGACAGTCATGAGTGAGGGTCTGCACATGTCAGTCTTACATGAGTGATTCGTGTTTGTCCTATGGTAGTACTTCAGATTGCATGTTCTGACTTTCTCGTGCAGCCTCTGACTTTCCCTGACAGCTGCTGACTTTCCCTGACAGTATGCACCGACAGATCAGACCTGCGACACGATGTGTCAAGTGTGTGTGTGGATGAGGCGTTTACTACGGAGTACCACCGGTTTATATCATAAAAACCTACCGGGGGAGATCCCGGCTGGAGAACCTGTGAGGGTTTAGGGTTCAGGGTTTAAGGGTTTAGGGGTTTAGGGTTTAGGGGTTTAGGGGTTTAGGGGTTTAGGGGTTTAGGGTTTAGGGTTTAGGGGTTTAGGGTTTAGGGGTTTAGGGTTTAGGGTTTGGGGTTTGGGGTTTGGGTGTAGGTTTCTGTTGCTGAAGTTTTGATATGACTTCCCAGGGCCGTACTATCGTCAATGCTCGTCGTGTGGCTTCTTGGGGACATCTGCCGAGGTAGAGTTATCGGGTTTGGGCCCTTGGTCCTAAATCCTAAATCCAAAAACCCTAAACTTCTAAACTCGAAACTCCTAACACCTAGACCCTAAACCCGAAACTCCTAAACCCCTAAACCCCAAAATCCAACGTGGTGCTCTTCCTTGCGGGAAGGGCCCGGTGACCCCTGGTCTTAGACGCTCAGGGATTAGCCCCTGTGGGCCTTAGACTATGGGTAAGACCCCAAACAGCACATAAGCACTAGCCTTTTGCAGGGATATCCCTATTTTATTGGGCTTCATTATAAGGGGCTTCATATGGGATATCCCTAGCCTTATTTTTGCCTGTGTGTTTTTTTGAGGCCTTAGATGGGCTTCGGGAGCTACACGGTTTCGGCTTGTTGGTTTGGGGTTTAAAGGCTTGGGGTTTGAAGGCTTGGGGTTTAAGGTTTTGGGTTTGAAGTTTGGGGTTCCAAGTTTGAGGATTGAGGTGTAGGATTTGGGGTTAAGGTTTAGGGTTCAGGGTTTGCGGGTTCAGGGCTTGCGGGTCTGAGGTTCTTTCATCCATGTGGATGATTTCCCGAATGTCGAAGATCTCGCAAATTTCTTGCAGCAGCTGGACAAGGCGTGCGAACTGTGCTAGCTAATATAGAAGCGAAATAGTTGCCGATACTATTCGTAGGTTTCCTCACTATAATTATACTTATACCATAAAGGAGCCCAAAACCCTATTCCATTTATTAAGGCCCCTACAGTATCGTGCATGATCGTTGCCTCTGTTGATACCGGTATAAACTGCGTTAAACCACTCCGTTTCTGCCCTTAAACCCTAACGCCAAAAAGCCCTAAAGGGAACTCCAGAAAGTTGGAATATGGTTTCAGGGTAGGATACCCTATATTTTACCATAGAAGGGTTAGGATAATCATATTCCAACTTTCTGGCTTTTACTTTAAAGGGCCTTGCTGCAGGACCCGGAACGGTACGAGAAGTATTTCGAGTGGAGGAAGCGCTACCACATCATGTCTGGTCTGGACCTGTTTGAGCAGAAGTATTGTGAGCTCTGCACAGAGGCGAGGGAAGTTCAGCTTACGATTCCGGTATGGTTCCCTACGTCCTATTAAACCCTAAACCCTAATCCTAAGCCCTCAATCGTAAACAACCTCATCCTTCAGCCCTAAACCTAAACCCTAAACGCCCTAAGCTCCACGCCTTAACCCCGCCCGAGGCTTCGGAAGGCAGCATTCTGATCCTGCTATCGGGTTTCCGGTTCAGGGTTTAGGGTTTAGGGTTTCTGAATTTCCCTGACTTTGAGGGGGGGGGGGGCGTATGGTGATACAGGGTTCCAGCAGGTTTGGGTGTAGTGGAAGGATTGGGAGGGCGCAGTAAGGACGGTCATGTGGAACTATAGTCGGTATGCGCCTTAAACCCTAATTAAGTAAAGCGCCAAACTCGAAAGCACGGCTTCTATTTGCCCCTGAACTATCAAGCAGGTTTTGCGGTGCTTTTGGGCGAGCGTTTAGGCTTCTCTGGACGGATTCTTCGAAGGTTCTGCAGGTACCTTTAATTGGAGGGTTCCCGAGCCCTAGACCCTGCACCTCCAGCCTTCACCGTAGACTATCAGGCAGTAGTCTGTGGACCAACAGCCTACAGCTCGAGACCCGATCGTTTTACCTGTCCAGAAGCCGCAAAAAGGGTTCAAGGGGTCAGGATGTGGGGCCTTTCCTGACTTTAAAAGCTTGTACACCCGTCCAAGACCCTGTAGAACAGCCGTAGAAGCACTTCCTAAGAGAAAAATACAAAGCCCTAAACCCTAAACCCCAAATCCTGAAGCCGAAACCTAAAGCCCTAAAACCTTAGCCCCCGAACCCCGAACCCTAAACCCTAAACCAGAATTTGAAACGCTGCGCGTCGTCCGCCTCGGCCCGGCTGTACGCGCATGCGGCGAGTGGCTACTATCTGCAGCAAGCTCTTGTAGGAAAAAAGTAACAGTTGGAATCGCACTTATAGTAAAAGTAATGTTCATAGCAACACGAAGCAGGATGATTGTGAGTAGTATTAGTAGTGGTAGTATCAGTACGAATTTTGGTGTCGTCATTCCGAAACACTGGATACCAAGACTCTCGCAAGCGGCGGGATGCCTTAAGTATGGGCCGTTGAGGCTGTGGATTTCGTGGGCGTCTTGGATTAGGGTAGCATCACAGCCTTTTCAACCACGTTACTCCACGAAAGGGCGTCTAAAACAAGCCTGAGACGCACATAAAGATGCTACATTGCAGTCCCGTTTCTTCGAAAACTCCGAAAGCTCGCACCTGTCAGCGAGGGGGAGTGGGGGGGGCGGGAGGGGGGGGAGGGGGGGAGGGGGGGAGGGAGGGGGGGGTGAAACCATAAACCTCTAAAGGGGTAGCTCTAACAGGTACCTACAGCAATGGCTGCATGCTCATACATATACATTCCGCTGCCCATTGGCTCACAGTGGTTTTACCATATTGAGACAAGACAAGCTCTCCTTGCGTAGCAAGACAAAACAACTACTGTCCGTGTGCAGGGCGCTGCCCTTTGATCCTTAGGGAATAAACTGGTCATACACCTCCTTACAAGGAGTATCCCTTGGGGGTGTATCGGCACAGTTTTCTGGTAGCGGAGCCCGGAAAGGGCCGCCCGCCTCACAAAGTCCGCTACAGCGGTCGGCCTCGCCGAACGCTTAACCAAGCGGATAAGAGGCAGCACAATGTCGAGCTCGCATAGCGAAGCCGACGGCAGTTCCCAATCCTCCGGGGGATATGAGAACGAAGAGACCTCCCAAGGTCCAGCTACTTATGTCGCACAGTCATATGCAACATCTGACCGCATGCTTGCATCATTAGGCATAACGCCCAAGATCGCGCCTGCCTATGATGGCACCACCTCGTGGTTTGAGTATGAACAGTTGATTGACGACTGGTGCGACATAACAACGCTGGATGATACCAAAAGAGGTCCGTCTCTCAAGACGAGGCTCTCCGGATTGGCCGCAGTACAAAAAGAATCACTCAACCGAGAAAGGCTTGCAGCCCCAGATGGAGTAGATTACTTCAAGAAGAAGATGCGTCCATTTTTCGTGAAAGGAGAACAGTACGTTTTCCTGTGGCGTTTCCTCGGCCTATTCAAGGCATGGAAGGGCAACCAAGACTTTGTGACTTGGATTGCTAAGTTTGAGATCGTGCTACAGCGCGTAAGAAACTCATGGATGGATCTCTTACCAGAGATAATTCTGGAAGATGCCCATCCGGATTTCATGCAGGCTGTGCAAGCAGATCAAACCTTCATGCGCCTACAGGATGCAACCGAGAGAGACACATACGCCGCACGTTTCTTCGAAACATGGAACAAGGAACGCCTTGATAATCATCGAAGAGCGTTTCCTCTAAATGATAATCTCCTAGCTCTCCTCTTCCTAGTGCAGTCCGACCTAAATGAGATGCAACGTGAGAGGTTGGTAACAGCATTGACCAACCAAGGTTACCGAATTGAGACCTACACGTACCCTATAGTACGGCAGACCATGTTCGATCAGTTCTCAACGACCAGAACTGGTCTGCAGGATCCCAATATTCGGCACACTTCTCACAAGAAGGACCGCCATGGAAGGAGAGATCAACGCCGCAAACGCGGAGGTCGAAACTTCCTCATCCTCGATCAGGGTGAATACGACGGAGTCGATGGATTCTGGCTCCAAGACGAAGACACCCTTGAGGAAGGCTTTCTTGCCGCCGAGGATGAAGAAGCTGTCTTCTGGACAGTTGACGACCATGAAGCCTTCGTTGCAAGGAGATTCAAAAAGGGAAGAAGACCAAGAATGCGTCCCGGATCACCGGGAAGAGCAAAGGGTGGCAAGCGAAAAGGACGTGGCCGTTTTAGGTCATACCGCGGAAAAGGGAGAGCCAACCAGGCAGAACATGATCCAACTGATTCCAGCTATTTCGGTAAAGGTAAAGGAAAGGAAAAAGGAAAAGGTGGAAAAGGCAAAGGAAAAGGAAAGGACAAAGGAGATAAAGGAAGCTCCTTCAAGGGTACAAAATCAAAAGGCAAAGGTAAGGATACAGCTAAGTCTGCCTCCTTACAAGGAGACCAAACTGGATCTCCACAGGCCTATGAAAGTTCCACCGCACCGAGCTGGGATTCATGGTATGAGGACAGTTATTATACTGACTCCAGTTGGAATTATGCCGCTTATGACGATCAAACGTCTTATACATACTATGCATCACAAGCCTCACGAAGAAAGACACGGAGAAAGAAGAGAAGAAATCAAGCAGGATCATCAGGTAGAGGCACAGATCCGAGCGCGCACCAAGAACCCGTGTACAACTCATCAGTGAGTTACGCGCCCCAGGTTTTTGAACCATCCGAGGGGCAAGGTGTGGAGACTGCAACAGCAGTGTTTCCGTTGCAGCACACCGTCCTATCTGCTCTCACAGAGCGGATCAATCTTGATAAGAGCCCTACCTTTGTCATTCTTGACTCAGGTTGTACTAGGGCTATGGGTTCCCGCTATGCGGTGAACAGGCTTATCAAAGCCGTGAAGCAACATGCCCCAGGCATGATTGATTTCACTTTTTCACCTTCGAATACGAAGTTCTCTTTCGCAGATAGTGAAACAGCTCTTATCAAGGAGCGTGTAACTCTATGGTTTAACACAACTCCAAGGAGAGATACAACCATAGAAGTTTTGGATCAGGGAAGAGTCCCCATTTTGTTCTCCATTGAACAGATGAGAAATCTAAGAATGACCCTCGAGTGTAGTCCAACAGCTGACCTAGCAACGTGTGAAGCTTTCGGTTTGTATAAAACCCCTCTTCCGATTAGTACCAATAACCATTTGGTATTGGACCTTCTAGGCTTTACTTCCACCAGGAAGTACCTTCCTAAGTCAGGTACATCGTTCCGTGCGACGGAGACTGCTCTAGGAGCCAATAAGCCTTATGTTAGGATACCGGAAGGTCGCTGTCCAGCCTGTGCCGGACAGAAAAAGGCTCACACGTACCTCAAGGGTTGTGACAGAGCACCTGAGGGAGCAGCTGATCCACCACCGAAGAGGATTTCAGGGAAAAGGAAGCCTCTTCCATCTGATCCGGCAGAATCATCTGCCAAGAGACTTGATCCACCAGAATCATCTGGAGATGTTCCTGAGCCTTCCGGACCATCGGAACCATCATCAGGCTCTAGAGACAAACCTGCAGAATCCTCTGCACCGCATGAACCTCCAGAAGAAGAAAGACTTGAGGTTCCATCTGCGAAGATAAAGACTCCAAAGGGTCTTAAAAACCTTCTGAAGAAAACCCGCAAATATGCGGACAAACCTCCTGTTGAAGAGAAGTCTACAGTCCCAGGAGCTGATGACGGGACGGAGGTAAGACCACTTGAGTCAAGAGAATACCCGGCTCCTGGCACAGACTCACCAACAGGTGAAGAGATTGTCGCAGAACCTTCGCCATCTCTTCCCATTGCTCTTCGCAGGATTCATGAGAAGCTTAAGGACCCTGTAGAACTCTACAAGCTTCACCTTAAGCACCGTCATATGAGTACGGATCAGTTCAAGCGACGCACAAAAGCCTTACAGATCCCAAAGGAGATCTACGAGCTATATGACCAACTGGTCAAAAAGTGTTCAGCCTGCCAGGAACATGTGAGAGCTCCTTCGAGAGCGAAGATTTCTGGTTTAAGATCAGAGACTTTCGGTGATCTCACCTTCGTAGATCACGGTGAGCTTCCAATTCCCGGCAAGGATAGTCGCTTAGTATTTCTTATTCTCTATGATGGAGCAACAAACTTGTTGACTGCCGAAGTAGTCCAGGATAAAGAAGAACATACTACAATGTCGATTATGAATGACTACTTTGAGAAATTTCAGATCAACCCAAAGGTTGTAGTTGGAGATCAAGCATTCATGACTCCAAAAATGGAGGCTTATTACAATCGGCAGAATATCAAGCCTGTGGCAACAGGACCTGGAACACCATGGCCCAACAGGGCCGAAGCTGCTGTAAGATTGCTGAAGCATCAGATTAAGCTCATACTTCAGATCCTGAAG